GAGTAATTGTCACAAGAGAATGGCATTTGAGTGAGTACAGACATATGGCAACCTCAACAATGAAGAACAGAAGCTGTGGAATAATATCTTCAAAATACTGTCAACTCTTGACTGGGAATCACATACAAGCTAATTTATTATTCAAGAATAAGATTAAGAAAAGACATGTTCATCTAACTAAAATGACTGAATTCAGGATTCTTATAGTTGTAGAATATACAATATCAGGTGAAAACTGTTTGGGAGAAAATATAGCTAAGGTAAAATATTATCCTAAGTCAAAGTATGTCTCTGTTTCATAAAAATTAAATGCTACTTTTTCTGATGATAGAATTGAAATAGTTAAAAATAAATTTGGGTAACAAATGTCATAACTTTACCTTTATTAAACAATAGTATCATGTCTTCATCAGGAACTTTGATTCAACTCTGTGCTAAACATCACCATTTAGAATATACTGAAATATTCTGGTGGGATCTGTATACTAAAAGGCATTTATTCAGCCTCTACGTAGGAAAATATTATAACCTAACCAAAAAGGTGCTGGTTCCTGATTACATATGATGTTCAAACCACTCCTATCCTGCTTTTATGAAAAAATTGTAATTTTAAAAGCTCATCAAATTGAACTTACTATATCTATCATCATTACTTGATTTTTCTCTCAAAGACTGACAAGATTGTGCAGAATGGAAAAGATGTAAAATAAAATTGTGAAAGCCATCATGTTTTACTATACTGAAATTAGGATTTCACATACTTATATTTACTTCCATAATTTCCATTCAGATTTAGATACAGTCTTACATAACTAGCAAAAAGCAGTCCTGATATCATTCTATGTCTGTTCACCCATCATTAAAAGGAAAGGCATTCTTTCCTAGAAATTCTATATCCAACTCAAAGAAAATTCCTCACATTGTAGGCGAGGCTCCAAGACTTGAGTTATGAGAAAAGACAATGACAGGTTGGTCAATCTGACACCATGGTATGGTTCATGATAAGGTACCACTTTAACAATTATTTTAAAAAGTAGAAATATTAGAATAATTATAACCAATGTTTCACATATATTTGGAGAATTTGGAGGTGTGACAAACATAGATCAAACTATTTTTATCTTATCTTCTAAGGAAAGATAATTGGTGTGTCTCTAATGGCTAGTTTTAACAATATGCAAGTTTTAGGTTAAGCGATTATGCTATTTAAGGGAAGCTGAGTATTGTACATGGTCTGGATTGTTCGTACCTGTCTGCACTCTGGTCAGCTGTGCAGGTAGGATTTGTATATTTGAAGATCACTAGGAGTTCTTCAGTAGCATAGCTATTATGTAAAAATTCTTTGTTGGACAAAGTCAGTTACTTAACAATTATTTTCATTGCCCCAATGCATTAAAGTAATAATAAGCTATAGTGAATTTTTATGAACATAGGATAATATAATTTTAGGATTAGAAAAACTTTAGTTTGCTTTATACAATATTAATTTTAGGATGAAGAAATGTATTTAAAATTTTTATATAACTATCAAACTACCTAGAGATGGCAGGAACATTCTCAGAGAATTTTCACACTTTGTTTGTTAACTTAGCTATATTATTTTCTTTAAAAGATATTTTATTCTTCTTGGCTACTTTTTTATTTGTATTTTATTTCAGATAAGATTTGGAATACTAGCATTATAAATTTAGTCCGAAGTTTTTGTGGAGGGAATTGCCAACTTGAAATATCATTACATAGAATAGGATTAAAAAATATGTTTTTATGAGAGCTCTGATCTGAGAAAAATTAAACAAGCTATCATAGATCTCCACAATGCTTCAAAATTAAAGGCAGGAAAGAAAATCAAAAACATTTTGAAGAAGAGTAAGATGAAGGTTCTTGTCCTCCCTATATATCAATACTGATTATTATATTACAGTAGTTAAGAAAGTTCTAAATTGAACAGGATAGAGAGAAAAATGAAAGCATATACATAGCCCAAAAATAGACCAATGAAATAATATATGATAGATTATACAGTAATAAAATAACTCATCCCTTGGTGAAAAAATAGAAAAATAAACACCATCAATTTCTACCTCATATACCAAAGAAAGAATTGATCTCAGATAATTTGAAGTCTGAAAGGTAAAAATTTAAAACTATAAAACTTTTAGAATAATACATATATATTATAATCATGGGGTAGTAAAGGTTTCTTTCAACTAGATACAAAACACCTAATGGAAATTATTGGTAAAGATGGCAAAAAAATGAGAGTTTCTTTTCATAAAAATGAACCATATTTGTGGCAAAAAAATGTAAGATGAAACATAACTGACAAAGGATTAAGATCCAGGATATGCAATCAAGAAAACCCAATAGAAGGCCAGGCATTTTGGCTTGTGCCTGTAATTCCAGCTACTTGGGAGACAAGACAGGGAGAATCCCAGTTTAAGGCCAGCCTGGAAAAAAGATTAGTGAGACCCCATCTCAATCAATAAGATTGCTATAGTGGACAGTTCCTTGATCCCAGTCAAGCAGGAGACCTTAGGTAGCAGGATTGTGGTCTGAAGCCCGTCCTGGACAAAATCTTTACCATGTGCAAAATAACTACTACAAAACAGGTACAGGGCTGTGGCTCAAGTATTAGAGCCCCAGTCTAGCAAGAGCAAAGCCCTGAATTCAAACTCTAGTACTGCCAAAAACTTTAAAAAGATGAAACATTATTGTAAACACAATGCTGATATTTTAAAAATCAAAAGGAAGTTATAAAAGACTAAATATTATTTAAGTAAGGTTTAAGTATGCAAGGAAAATTTTGTTAGTAGGAAAATCACAAAATGTATGAATGTAGAAATAAATAGAAAATTTAGGGGTGAGGCAGAGGGGAGATGAAGGAATGAGACAAGAAGCTCCAATCACATTCATTGACTCAAGCAGTAGAATACCTGCCTTGAGAGCATTAAGCCCTGAGTTCAAACCCCAGTACAGACAAAAAAAAAAAGTTACTCCTGATTATCCAAGGAAAGGATTATCATTTCAAAGATTTCAGTTGTGTGAATCAAAGAACCTGATTAACAACTTAAAAAATTTTATAGTCTTTATATCTAAGCATTTATACATACAATCTGAACTAGCTAGTATGTTAAAAGTATCCTCATCTAATTTTTTTTAGTTGTGATTGTTTTTGGCATTGGACCTCTGCATGCACAACAGCCAAGAGATATTTAGTATTCATCTTTCTCCAGTTTTCAGACAGTCATCTGCATTTCCAGAGGGTTGATGACAGGGCAACTTGGAGTTTAAAGACAGCATCTACATTTGCATTTCAATAGTTCCATAATTCTATGAAACCATTGAAATCTCTTCAATATGCCTCTTTGTGTAAATAGCAAAGGTGGCCAAATTTTCTTGAAGATTCATCAATCTTAGGAGAAAAAAAAAAAAACCAAAACTGGGACATTGTATCCAAAGCCTATTCTAAAGAGAATAGGTTTATTTTGTTAATATTTCATGTTGAAAACCATTTATCCACTTAGATCTTTATGTCCCCAAATCAAGATTGTAAGATAAAAGATAAAAGGAGGACATGTAGTTTAAAACATAGTACCATCATCAATCTTTAATTTGGGGTCCCTAAAAATATCTTTCTCCGCATTGGAAAGGACACAGTTTGGTTTCATCTAGAAAAACTTTAATACGTGAATGATCACTTCATCAGTACCTATGTCATTTGTTTGCAACACCTGCAGTTACTCATAGTTGGCTGTGCCTTTAAACACAATGATTTTTAAGAAATATTTTGGTATAAGAAAGCAAAGCCTGGAGTTAAAATGAGAAATTCTGAGTTCAAATGTAGGCGAACTGGGAACCTTTCTCAGATGAGCCTTTATTCTCATCTCCAAAGTGTGGACCCAGCAGACAGATTTTAAAAGGAATTAAATGAATGCATCTGAAAATACTGTGTAAATTACGTTCAAAGAACTGGAAGCCTGTGAGGCATTGCTGTAATTGGAAAACTATTTTGCTAAATTATTCTAGATTTTCATTCAGCGTCTAAAATTTCTCCTATCACTCTATCTAGCTCAACATTGAGATGTTCACAAGGACAAAACTGTGGGTTAAAAGTTATTGCTCAGCAAAGGTCAGCTAAATAAAAAAAGTCCTTTTAACATTTGATTTCATTTCTTTGTCATTTTCAAAACCCGTTTCATGTGTTTTGTAACACTTTTAAAAAATGATGTGGCTTTCCAAACATACTCTCACTTCTTTTCCCTTGTACATGCAAATTATAGGAAACACTGGGAAGCTGTCCTTAAAAGTCAACCCACTTTCAGGCCCAGATAAAGTGGGCAAAAAATCCTTCTCGTTTATGTATTAGGATTCAGTCTCCACATTCTCTCTCCAGATAAGAGAGAATGGCAGTCAGAAAAAAAAGGGATTTTAACCTCACAGACTTTTAGTGTTTCAAATCTAAGAATACAATCAAGCTCGCATTTTTCTCTAGTTAAACTGTGAGCTTACATACACCTCAGAGTGGCGTGAATAACACACACACACACACACACACATACACACACACATACAGAGTCTAACTTTATTACCAATTGGAGAAGGAAAGAGAAGATTCTCTCCCGTAATGAAGAAATCAAGAATCTATAGCTTATAATCCACAAAAGAATGATTCCAGAATAACAAATCCATTATAAAAGAGGGAATTTCATCAACTCTACCTAGAGAATACAAGTCTAAATATAGTACTAGCTTCATTAATTTTTTTTAAATAGACTGCCGCTTAAAAAGAAGTATGTGAAAAGAAAGTGTGTGTGTATCTTTATGTGAGTGAGTGTGTGTGTGTGTGTGCGTGTGTGTGTGTGTGTCTGTCTGTCTGTCTGTCTTGCAGGGTGCAGGGCAAGAGGAGGAGTATGAATAGAAGAAGGGAAGTTGGGAAACCCCTTGTCTTTTTGCGCACTCCCACAGCAGCAACCCCAGGCCCACAAAGAGAATGGAACGTGAGAGGTGGCACAAAGGTCGCTGCCATGACTGATAGGAAGCGACTGGACCCTGGAGCAGAGACTTTTCTCCTTGGCAGCCAACAACCTGCAGCAAGCAAGGCGGGCGGGGGAGGAAACCCCGAGGAGGCGCTCCTGGCCGCCTCTTTGCTGAGATAGCAGGAGCTGCAGCCTGCGGAGCCGCGAGCGCAGCGTCACTGAGCTGGTGCGGGTGCAGAGGCGCGCAGGCAGGCGCAGAGGCGCGCAGGCAGGCGCACAGGCCGGAGCCGCTTCTGCCACCCAGTCGCCCGCGCTGCAGGACGCCGCGCCACGCTGCCAGAGCGCCCAGGGCTGGTCCGCAAGCGTGAGGCGCCCACGGCCACGGTGCCTTGTGCCACCTGCCTCGCGCACCGCGGGCGACAGGAGAAACCCAAGAAAGCTCGGCCTGTTGTCCCTTTCTCAAAAACCAGCTTGTGGTGGAGGAGCTGGGAGAAGGAGAGCCATTTCAATTCTCTGCGGGACGGGGATTTTTCTCCTTACAGTTTGAGGGAGCCTAAGTAGAGGTCAGAGGGGCAGGAGAGGATCTCAAAAAGCAACAGAGGGCGGTGAATACGGTCACCACCCCCCATCATTGCAAAATCTCCTTGACATTTTTCACACTTTGAAGCAGCTGCAGCTGGTGTCGTCGGAAAAGGGGGTGGGAAAAAGAAGAGAGGGGGCGGGGAGACAAGCAAGAGCCAAGAGCAGCGCCTCCTCTCCTGCCAATCCTGGCACCTGTGCGCCGAGCTACTGCACCGAGGAGGACCTCACTCCGGGCGAACCCGGGTTTGAAGCCACGGACACCCAGCCCGTGGGCAGCGGGTACTTGTCTTCGGGACCTGCAGCCGCCCACTCGGGCCATCCGCCGCCTGAAGCCGCGGGAGCGCACAGCCCCTCCGACCTGCCCGCTGCGCCCCGGCCCCTCGGGATCCTCGCCCGGTAGAAGCGCCGCAGCGGGCAGGGGCTGTTAAGGAGTTGGGTGCACGTTTCTCTTTACAGCTCTTCTCTTCTCCTCCCAGGATTTATTGTCTGTGGAGCCTTCTGGGGGCGGGGAGGGAGCTGCGCCTCCGCCACCGCCGCTGCTGCGGTCGCTTAGCGCGGCGCGCAGGGCAGGCGGAGGCTGGGGAGTGGACACGCTGTTGCCTCCTCCGCTGGGGCTCCGGGCTTCCCCTTAGCTGCTTCCCGCGGGAACCTCTCCAGCAGTCCACCTGAAGGGCACCGACATCATGGTCTAACGTGGCACCTGCCTGGAATCCGCTCTTCCTCCTCCTTCTTTCCTCCTCCACCGAGGATTCTCGCGCCCACTCTACTGCAGACCCCCGCACACTTTAAGGAATAACCCTTGTCAGCTGTACGTCTCACGCTCTCCTGGAACCTCATGGGCAGTTTCTCCCGCCGGCGATGTGAGTAGGGCACTCTCGCTCGCTGGCCCAGGGGACTGCGGGGGGCTGGGGGTAGCTCGCCGCCTGCGGCCAAGGCGACAGTGAGCACGTGAGATGTGGGACCCCAGCGGCCGGCCGGGGGCGGGGATGGAAGGGCGGGAGGCTTGGGCGCTCGCTGCTTGCAGTGCGTGAGGTGGCCCGCGGAGGCGGCGGCATGGTGGTAGGTTGCGGGGCATTTGGCAGTGGGTGCTAGCTGGGCCAGTGCATGGGAGCACCGAGTGCCTTGGGTTGGAGAGAGACTCTAAAGGGTTACATACTGCGAAAAGGAAAGGTAAAGCAGGAGTGTTGGGTGCTGGTGTTGGGACCTTGGGTCCAAGCTCAGGTTAGGCTTCCCTGCTCTTTATTATCTTGGGTATCTTCAGTCAGCTTTTCCCAGGAGGTGTGTGAGGCATGAAGCTAGTGTTTGATCTCGACCACACACACACACACACACACACACACACACACACACACTTGTGGCAGGTTGCACCTGTCCCTTTATCTTAGAAGGTGTTGTATTACTGTCATGATAACCTATTTGTTTGGAAAAAATGCAGTTAGAAGATCTTTATGTCATTGAGGATTGAAGGGAAAGGGTGGGGTTTGGGGAAAGAAAAGGGACAGGGACGAAGGAGCATAAAAGACTAAAGGACAGAAAGAAGTGGGGGAGCAATGGGGTGAAAGCTTTCCCTAGGAGTCAGTTTCCCTTAGGAGAACGGTTTTTCTCTCTTCCTAAGCCAGACAACTCCTACTCGCACATCTCCTTTGTGTTCTGGAAATGCTGGTGAACCTACACCATTCCCAATCCTGCGCTGGGCCCCCCTCGGCGTCCTCTTCTTCAAGTCATTAAGGATGCAGGCTGTATTTCCGATTCAATGTGGAAAGCGGGAGAGATGCCGGTTAGCACAGGGGTAATCATGGCACCCTGTCTCATGGACAGTTAGATTGGCTACCTGAGGTCTCCAATGTTACTCTTTGTAGAGTGCAGAACGAGGGCGGGGATAGGGATGGGGGCTTGTACAGATTGCCTTTAAAATAGTGTTACTTCATGATAACGGAGATGGCTGCAAAATTGCTTATTACACTACTTCTCGGCCATCAGGGTTGAATAAAAGACCCGCCTCCGCCCTCTTCTCCCCCCACCCTCCTCTCGTTGTCTCCTCCCCATCAAATCACAAAGCGAGCGGGTTGGGCAAGAGGGCACAGAGCTAAGTGGAGAAGGGAAGGGGTTACTTTCACAACTCCTGAGAATAGGCTTCAGAAACCAACCATCTGCAACTCCCACGTTCCTTTCGAAGTTCTCCTTCAAAAGGAATTACAAAGAGCGGGAGGTGGTGGGTGAAAATCAGTGAGACACAGGAGTCCTCCACCTGCTCCTTTCCATTACTTTTCCAATGCACTTTCAACACATGGAATTTACCTGCACTGGTAATTGGGTCACCAGGTAAATATGTGTACCTGTGTATATGCAAACGTGGCTCTCCTGGTGGGTGAGAAGCAATTTGGATTTGAACATATTTTAATCTGAGCAAAATTTCTAAGCACAATAGAGATTTTTATAGCGTGGGCGAACAGAGTGCATTCCAGCGAAAGCAGAACACGTGATCCCTCCAAAGGGAGAGATACAGTATTAGGAACTCGGTTTTCTTTGTTCCAGGCTGAGCCTATGAGACGCTCAGAATCTCAGTTGCTAAGTCCTTCCATAAAGGGGAAAACAATAATAAAGTTGACCAGGGAGAGAAAAGAGGGGAAAGAACAAGAGTAGATAGTTGCCTGTGAGGGGCTTGAAACCTCCCCTCACATTTCTTTTTACTGCCCACCCTCCACCTCCTCACGTGGCCCTGCAGGGTCCCTGTTTTAAAATGATGCATTCCCTCTGGGAGACCCGATGGAAAAGTTGCCCAGCCCTGTACACGTGGGTTCCCCAGCGCCTTAGAATCTGCTGCCATTCACAACACTTTCCCCCACCTCCCCAGCCCAAGTGTCACACCTCAATTCAGGCATCCATTAGCTGGTTCCCTGAGCTCTGAGGAAACCACCACAAAGCTTTGTAAAAAGAGTCATGCCCCTGCTTCTTAGAAACCTTCCATTGCACCAGGAAAAGAACGAGAAAGCAGGGATACAGCAATGATTTTATTTTTCCTTAAAAGTCACTGGACTAAACAGGTGTATTTGGGGCACAGTTAGCAATATCCGTGTTTGAATTCTTGTGGTGTCTTATGCCTGTAGAATGTCCTCAATTTTAATAATTATTAATTCAGTTGAGGTAGAACTTGTTCCCCACCTAACATTTAAATAGTTACCTAACTTGGGGATTGCTTATTTCATCTTCATTCCATGTTTTACAAGCAATCTTAATGGGCTAAAGTTTTTTAAACCTGGGCTATCTCTGTCCTGTGCCACCTTGCATCATGTTAATACATCATGGTAGAAAAAAACATAGTTAATTTCCAAAATATATTATGAGTTGAGAGTTCTTTATACATCATTTTTTTAACTTGACTGTCCAAGAAAAGATGTGTACTCACCATGGCAACCCTTGCATTCCACATCACTTGTGCTTGCACATATGCAGCTTCAGAATTAGAAACTACTTTATAAAGAAACAAACCTAGTCCAATTACAGTAGCCATGTTTTATTCAGAGTTTTAGCACTGTTTTAGGCTGGCATGAAAATTTTCTTAATTAAAATGTCAATCCATTTTCTTGCATAAATTTTTAATTTTCCTAACTCTTCTGTAAAATACAGAACATAAACAAGCTGTTGTTTTTCTATTTGCATTTTTGTTTGCTTTGAAATTTTAAGAATTGTGAAAATATTAATTAGTATCATGAATTTTTATTTCTTATGAAGGTCATTAACTGTATTATCAATACAGTGCTAAGTCCCAGAGATATTTCTTAGATCTCTCTTATTTCAGTACACAGTACGTGTTAATAAATGCTATAAAAAGTCTGGTCTCCTTAGTTAGGATTTTAAATGTCACTTTTAGAACAGTTGAAAAGTTGAAGATGTTGGATTTCGGCTGATGTATAAAAATTACATCTATCAGTACTATAATTTTATTTTCTGAATGACTGTGGTCTCAATATAAGAATGGATCACACATTCCATGATGTTATAACTTCATTCCATGCCCAAACTAACAAAGTACACAAAAAGTAACTAACTGTTCAGAAATTATCATCTGAATTTTTTTCTGAATTCTTAATATTTATTTTCTTCTTTGCATAAATTATTTTGCACTTTTTGGAAAATTCATCATTTTTTAAAATACATAGAATTCATTGAACACAACAATTATAATAAACATAGCAGTAATAAAAGACACTGGGTTTTATGTTCTCTTCAAGAGATGATTGCTTTGCAGAGTATCATACACGTGGTTTCTTGGGGTGAGTGTAGTCAATCGTGTGAATTTGCCATATGACTTTAGGGAAGTCTATGGCATGTAACAAACATTTAGTTGTGACAAGCCTTCTGACCATTGCGTAATAATTATCTTCATGGAAAGATAAGCAGATGATTCTAGTATCTTCTGAGAAGCTTGAGGGTTTCACTTTGAATCTTTTTAATCTAGGTAACACATCAGCCCTCAATGGAAGATTGTAATATTTCAGTATTAGATAATTGAATTTTAATATTAAAAATAACAATTTCAGCTATGAGTATAACTATTGTATTCTGAGGAAACACCAAAACAGAAAGAAAATTCATGGATTGGTTTCTTATATAGCTTTTTAAAAATTATCAGTGTTGGGTGTTTATTTTAATTAATACATCTACATGATCACATTATCAAGCAAAGTTCACAGCTTACATCAGAGTTCTGCTCTATGGGCTTTGAAAAATGAAAGCACCATTATTTTTTGGAGGTATTGAGGTTTGAACTTAGAGTTCTGTGCTTACTAAGTAGGCACACTACCACTTGAGCCATACCTTCAGCCCTTTATTGCTTTAGTTAGTTTTCAACTTAGGGGCTCATGCTTTTTCCCCTGACCAGCCTCTGATGGTGATTGTACTACCTACCCTTACTGCTAATTGAGATTACAGCATGCTTATTTTTGAGATAAATTCTCACTAACTTTTTCCCTGGGTTGACCTTGAACTGCAGTCCATCCTATCCTTGCCTCTCAAGAAGCTGGGATTACAGGAGTAAGCCATTGTACCTGGTTGTATCTACCATTTTAATATATTACAGAATAGTTTTACTGTCTAAAAATTCCCTGTGTTTTACTTATTCATTCTTTCCTCCGCTAAAACCTTGGTAGACACTGAACTTTTTACTGTCTCTATTGGTTTTCCTTTTTCCACAAAGTCTTACAGTGGAATAATACAGATTGTCACATTTTATGGTTGGTTTCTTTAACTTAACAATATTTGCATGTCTTAAAATGTTGAATGTAAATTGTGCATGAAAACTCAAAATTAAAAGTGTCACTATCAATCAACAGTGCTTGGAAGATGGTGGCTATGTTCTGTGAGTTAGGCTTGAATCATTATAAGTATTTTTTATTTAGAAAGGATTGTAGGGAGTTACTCTGAGATTGTGAAAAAGGAGTAAGAACACCTTAGATACTTCCAGAAGTATAGTGTAATTGCTGGTAATATTAATCAGCCTTTTTTAAAACTATAAAATAGAGGTAGAAATGATTGCTAGTTTGAAACTGCAAATAATTGGAGTTCTTGAGTCATAATTGCTTAAGTCTAATAAGACAAAATGGCACAAGGTTTGCATATTTTAGAAGACTACATCTTAAACTTTGTGGTATAAAACAGTGTTTCTATAATAATGTGTGTGTGTGTGTGTGTGTGTGGTTGTAGATAGTGATGGCCTAGTGCATTTCAAAAGAATGCCATTTAAGTAATAAAAAGTATCACTTTTGTGCCCCAGAATTAAGGGAGCAACATTTGTCATCTTGTTTTTTTTACAATAAATACTGCCTGAACTATACTCGTAATAATAGCTACAGGTTACTGA